AAACAATTATACATTATGTATAGAACTAAATATCTCTGTGTCCCACACACACAGATACAGTAGAGCCCCGATTATCCGCGAGTGCCGTGAAATATTCTTTTCTTTTAAATTTAATTTGATTTTCGTTATATATCGAAATGTGTTCGTGTGTGCTCGTGTGTTTATGCGAATTGCGCTCGATATTGATCAGACGAACGTGTGTTTCGACTCATTTTAAAGCGTGTTTCGACTTGTCACACCGTCTACAATCGTGTTTCTTTGTCGGTGGTTATTAGCAGATTATTAGTTTGTTCCTGAAATAAATAATGGCTGAAAAACGAAAGAAGGTTGTGTTAACGATTCCAGAAAAAATAGAAATGATTTCTAAAATAGAAAATGGCGCATCAAGAAAGCAGATGTGTTTACAATACGAGATTGGGGAAACAACAGTGCGAGATGTTTTAAAGCAAAAAGAAAAGTTATTGGCTTTTGCAACAGTTTCAAACAGTGTTTCTGGAATGAAAAAACGAAAAACAATGAAGAAATCCACGTACAGTGAACTTGACTCGGCATTAGCGGAGTGGCTAGCTCAAGAGCGAAGTGAAGGCACTCCTGTATCCGGTCCTAACATTGCAGCTAAAGCAAAAGTCTTCTTTGATTTGTTAGGACTGGAAGGAAATTTTGATGCGTCGTCCGGTTGGTTACATCGTTTTAACCTTTAGGGGGCCGGGATTTTAGGTAACATATTGTCTGAAGAAAATCGATACAAAATGTACTTCATATGATATATTTATCATATACAAAGACTGATAACATAGACCACCACTTAAGTGGTGGTCCCGGTCCTCTAAAGGTTAAGAAACGTTATGGAATTAGGGAGATAGGTCTTCATGGGGAAAAGCTGAGCGGTGATCAACAAGCAGCTGACGATTTTCAACGTGATTTTGAAAAGTTAATAATGTCGGAAGATTTGTCACCAGAACAAATTTATAATGCTGATGAATCAGGGCTTTTTTAGAAGTGTCTTCCCACTCGCACTTTAGCATTTGAAAGTGAACATAAAGCGACAGGACACAACAGTAGCAAGGAAAGAATCACAATCTTGCCATGCAGCAATGCTGCTGGTACCCACAAACTGAAACTTCTTGTAATCGGTAAATCTAAGAAACCAAGGTCTTTTAAGGGACAAGAGCAGACAATTTACCAGTCGATTATTTCAATCAAAAAAAAGGTTGGATGAACCAGCAGATTTTTCAAGAATGGTTTGTAAAGATTTTTGTGCCTCAAGTACGTAAACACCTTGATTCAAAGAATTTACCAAGAAAGGCCGTTTTATTAATTGACAACGCGCCTGCCGCAAGTGTGCTTAAATCTTCTGATGAACAAATTTTTGCAAAGTTTTTGCCCCCAAATGTTACTGCGCTCATACAGCCTATGGACCAGGGGGTCATTGCAACTGTGAACAGGATATACAGAACAAAGTTGGTAAAAACAAAAATTGAAGAAGGTTACGATTTTAAGCAGCTTTGGAAGATGTATACAATTTTGGATAGCATTTACGATATTGCGTTTGCATGGGATTGTATTAAACCGTCACCCCTCGTCAAATCGTGGAGAAAACTCTTTCCAAATATTGAAGTAAATGTCAACCAAAACATTGGTGAAGAACATAATGAATCGCTGCACTTATTGACTTAGTGACATCCGTTCCGGGAGGTGAGAATGTAAATCAAGAAAACATAGAAGAGTGGCTGGAATGTGACAAAAATGAGCCAGGGTTTGAACGACTATCTGACGTAGAAATAACAAACAAAGCAATGGGAGTGAACGAAGAAAACGAAGAAATTGAAAGTGAAGAAGGCGAGGTGCTTGCGCGGATAACACATGAAACTGCTTTGCAGCATGTAGACGGATTGCTTCAATATTTAGAGGAGCAAGACGACGCACATCTGGCAGAAAAATTTATGCTAAGGAACGTACAATCCAGAATAAAGAAAAGGTGCTTCCAAAGCAAGAAGCAAAAGCTAGTGACCGATTTTTTTAAAAACATGTAACTGACAGTTTTTGTCTACAGTACAGTTTTGTTTACAGTACAGTGATACAATACATATGTACATATTATTTTTTGTTTATTACTAGTCTTTACTTTAGTCTTTAGTGATTTACATGTAGAAGAAAGGTTTAAGTAAAATAGTCTTTATGGTGAATTATGTTTTGTGTTTCCACCTTATTTTTAGTCTTTTTCGGGTTATCCGCGATTTTTATTATCCGCGGCGCCCTTGCCACCCAATTCCGCGAATAATCGGGGCTCTACTGTATATTTTTATATACTATATATTTATATATACTATATTTGTTCCCATATATTAATAAAATAAAATATCAAAATTCGGATGAAGAATTATACAGGGTTTATGGAAAAATCGCTGACACGAGCAATTTTTTGGTATAGATTTTAAATTTTTTAAGCCATTATGACGAGTATTGACGTCATCGATATTTTTATCAAATAGCAATGCCCCATTTCTATCACGGAATATGAAAGAAGACCTTTTTCTGAATCTACTACAGTCAATATTAATATTGGTTACATAAGAAAATTTTCGAGAAAAATTATCTTAAAGTTTCATTATTTCCTGTTCAATTGAGATAGCAAAATAGCAGTAGCTAACCATGGCAACCAACAGTTTCAGATATCAAAAATTAATCATTGTCTTAATAAAGTATCTGAAACAACTGGTTGCCATGGTTACGTATGGCTACTGCAATTTTTCTACCTCAAATAAATGGAAAATCAAGGCAATATTTCTCGAAAATTGTGTTATGTAGCTAATATTAATTTTGGCGGTACCAAATTTAGAAAAAGTCCTCTTTCATATTTCGCAATAGAAATGGGGGATTGCCATTTAAAAAAATATCGATGACGCCATAACTCGTTCGAAAAAATTCAAAAAAATTTAAATCTTTAGCCCCTTTTCAGGGATTTTTCCATAAACCGTTTATTATGATTTTATCGCCTATATCCGTTACTTTACGGGCACACTGTATGTTTTTTAATTGTTATGGTGTAATTTAAAACCGCTGACGAAAGAATTACTGACTGAAACTTCCAAAAACTTTAATTTTCAAAGAGTAAAGTGTTCTGTATACAGTTGTTATACTGAAAATAATAGCTGTTCCAGATTGCTTTAGGTATAGTAAGTACACATTTGTAAAATGGAATTGAAAATAGAAAAACTATGGTCACAGCAATCAACTAGACATTTTGGCAGCCAAACCTATTTTTAGTTATAACTTCGTAATGCTGTATCCCATAATTGGTTTTCTAGAACAATAATTAGAACAACTAGAACAACCCAGAACAACAAAGAAAATCTGATTTTTCCAAAAATGGGGGGCTAGTCAAAAAACCCGTTTTTTCTCGCCGAGTTTTTATTTTTTCTATTTGCCGCTTTATAACAATGTAGAACAATTCTATAATAATCTAGAACAATGAAAAATTTAAAAATCAAAAAATGGGGGCTAACTTCCCGCACTCGCAATTTCTGCACTATAAACAGCAGCACAGTAAACTCTGTGAGATTTGCAAACGAGTGAATTCTAACAATGTAGTACACTTTCCAATAACGTATGAGACTATGGCGGACAAGATGAGACCTGCAGAATGCAAAAAACCGGGAAAATGCGGAAGTGGTGGGGTTAAACTGTCGCTGTTCCAATATTGGGTAAAAACAGGTTAATTCAATAAGACTAACGGAAGAATCTATTAACTGTACTTAACAGATTTAAACAAGATGGGATCTCTACAACAACTAAACCAGTGGACCTAATTAAAACCGGTTTCGGTTTAATAGAACATCATCAGGTGAGGTGTAGGTAATGTAAAAAGATTACAATCGTGATCGTATTAGATTATACTAAAAAGTCTAAATGTATCTAAAATAAGTAAATAAAAGATTATCTAAAAAAAAATCTTAAAAATTACTACGTACATTATCGTGGGTACAGGTACGTTAGTTAACAATGTCACCCTCTGATCGACCGGCTTTTGGGTCCCTCCCGACAATAGTACAACAGCCCGCGGCCGCTCCCCTCGAAACTCCATTTCCGGCCACCCCCGCAGCCGTCAACCGAACAAAGTCCCCCCAATTCGTCGTGGAGAGAAGGATGAGAGGATACGCCCGTGCATTGCGGTGGATGGTTGAAAAGCGCCAACGAAAAGGAGTAAATGGCAAGCTGACGAGGGGGCGGCAGCGACGTAAGCGGGGTATCGTGTTCGAAGGGGGCGGCCGCCCGTGACCTAGACTCAATGACCTTGACCGTCAGATAGTGCTGGAGCTGGATCGATCCTGGCGACGTGTGCCCTAGAACCGCGGCATGCGCATGATCCGAATGAAATATGGAAAAGTTCGTTTTCTCGAAGGGGTAACCACCGCCCATCGATAATAATTATCATGACTATTCTTATGTTCTATTGACTATTCCTTTAGAAATACCAGCTTCTAACTCTTTTAAGATTATATCAATATACCACTTTGTTGACTCATTCTAATTGGAAGATTGAGGAAGTAATCTGGAATATTCTAGAAGAAACAATGACTCATAAACTTTAAATTAAATCCGCAAAACAAGTCTCAAGTAAAAACCAATATTGAGGTAGGTTAAGTCATAATTACTAAACAAGCAGTTGAACTAAAACAAATATTTTCATTTTTATCCTAAAAACTGCTTAATATTGATTTAACTTAGTAAATACATATTCCTTATTTCAATATATAACATTGAATTAATATTGTTTGAGATTAATTAAATAAAAATACTAAATACATTCATAAAACGACCTTAAATTCTAAATTTTAACCGGAAAATGTAAATGACATATTTTGATCATTGCAAGAAATCCTCCACAAACACAATTACCATCGCCTAAATGCACTTAAGAACATATTTATTTACAAATAAGAAAGGATATTAAAAATATACCAAAAACACGACGTAAACATAACCTCAAAATCACTTACCTCTGTCAAATTTCTTTCCTTCTTGGTCGATGTCTTTAACATTGAAAATATCTTCGAAGAGTACACCAGCCATAATTATTTATCTTCCAATCAATACTTAAGCACTAGTAATACGATACAAAATTCTAAATTCAATTCAAATCACCGCTCGTATAACCTAAATACGCAATATTCGCGAATCTCAGAGGTACCACAACACAAAATGTAACTAGACAATTACGACGGACGTGTTAAAATTAAAAATACGTTTCAAAATATGAATTTGAATTCAATAAATCATATTAAAGATGATGAGAAGTAATAATACTTAAATGTATCCAATTTAATAAGTTTTAAATTAATGTTTTATTTAATTTATTATTACCATCTTGTAATTCAAAATGATCCTAAATCGGGAAACGTCACTAGTGTCATGTAGATTTGTTTGGGTTCGTATTTATCATGACGTAACTATTTAAATGTCAAAATTTGGGGTGTAAATATTTGGGAAATATAATAAAAATGGCAACATTACCGCCTCGGAGAAATCTTACGCCCACTAAAATATCTAAGCAGCACTTGACGCCTTTACAAATATTACTGCAGATGGGTTTTCCAAAGCATAGGGCGTGAGTACCTACTTATTCTATAATAGAGTTTATTTTAAAGGTTTGTTGTATTTCAGAGAGAAAGCTTTAGCTGCTACAGGCAATAGAGGCGTACAATTAGCTTCCGATTGGCTTTTAGCCCACGTTAATGACCCACTATTAGATGATACATCTCCTCGTGAATACATATTGTATGCATGTCCAACTGGAGAATTCTTAGAGCAATTACAATCGTTTTGGGAGAAATCTTTGGAAATGTGTGGGTGGAATGGGGCACATAATTTTACTCCACATATTACTTTAGTATCGTTTTTTAAAGTGGGTTTGTCTTTTCGTTATCGGGTGATGGAAAAATGAAAGGTTTTATTGATTTAGGCTCCTGATGAAGACTCATTGCATTTAGGTCAAATGCTGAAAGCTGTTATGGAAAGACAAGGGGCCACTTTAAATGAAGCTTTAAAATTGGAGACTTATACTTCACCAAATTTTATGGGATTTTTTGTTGCTGAGGAGCATGCTGATTATTTAAAAAGAATTGCCATGCAATATGTTAAGGAGGTTTCTAATGCTAGTAAGACAATTATTTCTTTATTTTTTTTATTTTCTTATATTAACATCCTACTTCACATCCATTATGTTTCGGCTTCTTTGAGTATTTTATGTGTAGAACTAACACATTGGAAGGTTTTTTATTACCTGTTCACCTTTAACTGTGATATTTTTTTAATAATAAATTTTTTATTTGTAGTATTTGGAATTATAATTTTTTTCTTTTCCTATTTCAAGTTTCCTTTTATTGGTTTACTTTGTGTTTATTTGTATATTTTTGCCACATTTTTGTATTTAGGGATAAAATAAATTTGCAACAAATCATTAGTCGATGAAAAACAAATTTTAATTAATTCTAAAATTAGATCAATGTTGATTAGTAATAATTATAGAGTTAATTGGATAATTATAGAAATTGAATACATTTGTTAATGGGCTCAGATGAGTAATCAAGATTAAGGAGTGCATTATTTTTGGCACTACATTTAGTTTTCATTGAATATTTGATTAGAATAAAAAGTATAACATTACTATGTTAAAAATTTATTATCTAATTTAATACTTTTTATTAATAATCTTTTTATAAGTTTCAGATAAACTCGTGATTGAAAATTAAGGATAGTTTAATGAAATTATTAAAAATAAATAAGTATTATATTGCACCTATAATTATCTGCAGTGAATTTCAAATATAATTAATACTCATTTAACGAACTTTGGATTATAAGGAATTTAATAATCTTGAGAAACTCACTATTTGGATAAATATGAACGTTAGTTTTAATAATGCAATATTTATGGATTTTTCAGGTTCTTATATACTCTGTTATTTAGAAAATTTGTCTTAGAAATGTGATTGTATATGTTTGTATAGTAAAAACCACGAGAGCTGGCAGTGACAGATCGTTTAAAAATGGTATGAATCAAGATATAGACGTACGACTTAGATTATTTCACCACATACATTTAAATGTAGGTTATGTTAGTAATGGAGGTTATATGTCAAACATTGTCAAAGATATTATTTAATGATTTTCCTTTCAAAGAAAACATTTTCGGCTTGTGAAAACACTAACAGATTCATGACAACGCTCACAAGACGTTTCGATTTGAGGTTATAATTATAGAGTGACATCCCTTAGAAGAACAGACGTACTTTTTCGACGTGGCCATTTGAATTGTACATCAGACATATTAAACTAGTGCTATCTCTTTCCAACACACATTACTCTCTAGTGGTTTGTGAACTACGTATGGCATTTGTAAGAGCGGAAAATGATGATTTACTGCCAGCTCTCGTGGCGTCTACTATACAGGGTGATTCATAAGTAATGGGCCAAATTGTAAATGTACGTTCAGGAGGCCAAAATAATAATATTTTCATTAACAATAATGGGTCTTAGTCTGCTCCTTACTGAGATACAGGATGTTAAAGCGAAAAAAATAAAATAGATTTTTGTTAATAGATCAGCTACTTTTCTACATAATGACTCATAGTTGACTTATAGTTTTTATAAGGGTAAACAATAATGTGTGAGAGGATTTGAGTTAACTCGTATGTATGTAATGTAATTATGAAACGTCAATGAGCTTTTACGTTTAATGAATAGTTTAAAACATTTTATTGTTAAGTAAACTGATTCATTCTTGTCCTAACATAAATCAAAATGCCGAGACATAATCACTTTTCAAACGAAGAAATGAGAGACATGTTATGCGTTTACGCACAAGAACGTTTTTCTGGGCAAGCAGCATCCAGAAAATATCGTGAAATGTACCCTTACAGAAGGCAGCCAAACCGGAAGATATTTCAAAATATTTATAATCGATTGGGTGAAACAGGTTCATTTCGTCCAAAATATCATACAGGACGTCCTAAGATTATCACTCCGCAGCAAGAAGATGAAATTTTGGTAAGAATTGCGCAAAATTCTGAAATAAGCACTCGTCGATTGTCTGCAGCAACTGGAATAAGCCAACCATCCGTGACTAGAATTTTACACAAGGAAAATTTATATCCCTATCATTTTATACCTGTGCAAAATTTACTTCCAACAGATTATCGAATCAGAGTTCAATTTTGTCAGTGGCTAAAAGGAAAATTGAATAATAATCCAACATTCCTAAATAACATTCTTTTCACGGATGAAGCAACCTTTACCAGACGCGGAGTTTTTAATTGGCGAAATAGTCATGCCTGGGAAACCGAAAACCCTCGTTTAAAAAAAGATAGACATTTCCAGCACGAGTTTAAAATAAATGTGTGGTGCAGTTGAATTACCTCCTAATTTAAATGGAGAGTCATATTTAATTTTTTTAAATAATGACTTAGTCGACCTCTTGGGAGATCTTCCATTACAACTAAGAAGAAATATGTGGTTCATGCAAGACGGTGCTCCTCCACATTTTTCACGTGCTGTGCGCGAACATCTGAATGAAACATTCCCTCACCGTTGGATTGGACGTGGTAGTGAATTTCAGTGGCCACCATGTGTGGGGTTACATGAAATCAATGGTCTATGCTGAACCTACTATAAATACACGAGACGAGTTATGGAATAGAATTCAAGATGCAGCCAATTCAATACGAAATAATCCTGCTACATTTTTTAAAGTCAGACAATCCTTAACCAAACGGTTAAATGCGTGTATAAATGCTGGTGGTGGTCATGTTGAAAACCTTTTGCAGTAGCTCATAATTAAGCTTAAATTTAATTTAACTTCGCACAACATTAACATGTAGGTTTTGATAACAGTTGTCGTAAGTGGTCTTAGTTCAAGTCTGTTCTAATGTTGTATTTCGTTTTATTAACTGGCGTACAATAAATTGTTTTATTACGTAATTTTTTTATGGTTTCAGTTTAATATTGTTATCAATTATCAGTTACGGTTAGGTAAATGTCAACATTCCATGCCATGCTTGTGTCTTAACAGATTAATGCTACGTCGACCACCGTGAAATGTAGTGTAGTGAATTAGTAAAATTCAAATATCTCGAAAATCGTTAATATTTTCAAGATCAAAGAAGTATAGCTTTTTTCTACAGAAATGATGGGGCTATCCAAATTAAACAAGTATGTTGTAAAATAATGAGCGATAAAAAATTTGTAGCTGATTTCATCTAATTCATATGGCGCATGTGGCGACATCTACGAGTTAACTCAAATCCTCTCACAACACATTATTGTTTACCCTTACAAAAACTATAAGTCAACTATGAGTCATTATGTAGAAAAGTAGCTGATCTATTAACAAAAATCTATTTTATTTTTTTCGCTTTAACATCCTGTATCTCAGTAAGGAGCAGACTAAGACCCATTATTGTTAATGAAAATATTATTATTTTGGCCTCCTGAACGTACATTTACAATTTGGCCCATTACTTATGAATCACCCTGTATAATCAGTTACTGGCAAAATATAGAATAATAATATAAGACTCATCTAGTGTCAAAACCAGAGAGATAATTTATGACAACAGTTTTAAGATAATTGAAAACAAATAATTAAACTCATTATGTTTAATAAATTAATGACCACTAGTGTACACATCTTATATATGAATATAATCAAATTAGATTAGATATACTACAAAAATGATATTTTAACCATAAAATTTTTACTCTGGCTGATTTGAGTATTATTAAGAAATAAATCTAAATTTAAAGGTGGTGTACATATAGAAAATGGAAAAAATGTTTGTGTTAGGCTGCTGAATCTAATTTGGCATTTGATATTTGTTTTTACAGCAGCCAGGCAAAAATATCTTATTTCAATGCTTTAGACATTTTCGGATTTTTTGTAATTAACATCTCCTGTCAAGAACCTATGCTTTATTTTCTTTATTGTTTTCTCATACAAACCTTTTGAGGAATAATTCTTCTTGTAATAGACTTGTTGTGATGACGTCTTTGAACAAACTAAAAGTATAGAACACGTTCTAAAATACTATCTGACGAGCATGATAATGAGCAAAGTGAAGGATACAGTCAAAGTGGAGGGCAGCTGCAGAGAACGTTTTGAAATCAAGGAGGGCCGACAAGGCGATAGACTCGCCCCATATTGTTTAATATAGCACTACAGAAAGTTGTAAGAGACGCAATTAATAGCATGCACAGAGATGATTAGGAACGATAACATTAAAGTAGTGCCAAGTCTTATATTATTAAATGAGACCAATGATACCGCACAAGAAATACGACAAAGAATAATGAAGGTCATCGCTTATCGAACGAAATACCAAGATTACGAAATTAGAAGAAATGTTAGCAGTATTTGAACGAAGGGTATAAAAGAAAATCTTTGGTCCAATAAACGAAGGTGAGTTGGTAAATTCGATATAACTACGAATTGGGAGAATTATACAAGGACCTGCATATTGTGAGGCTTATAAAGATCCGAAGACTTCAGTGCGCTGCTGTCAGGATACGTGGCATGAATGCATGAAAGAGGGACTCCTAAAAGAGTAATGACAGGACAATTGGCCACAAACCGACCAAAAGGAAGACCTTGAACGCGATGGCAAGATAACATAAAAAGGGATGCTTTGAAGTTATTTGGAGTAAGGAATTGGCGAGCGTGTTTGAGGAGTGGCAGTTCTTGGAGACATAAATTGAAGGAGATTGGAAGATGAAGTGAACTCATTGTAACCTACATACTCCTTGAGTATGATTAAGTCTTGTCTTTTTTATTTGATCTTTTATTATGCTTGGCCGTTTTCAGTTTCTCTTCTCTTCATCTGATCATATATCTTGTGGATAGTTTTTTAAGAAAAATTCATTCAATGATGATCCGATCATTTTGCAACAATTAATAATTATTTTGTATATCTTTATATTCATACTGATATATCTAGAATTAGTTTTGACCAGATGTAGGCTTCATATAGATAGGAGTTGTAGTTTGTTGTTCAAAACTTGTGGAATTCGGAAAATTTTATAGTATTGATGATTAATTAAATGGATTTTCAATAGAAAATTTGAAAGTATATTTTTTTCTTGTTTTCACAGATAAAGGTAATAA